CAAACCCTCAAGAACGCTAGACATTCCCAATCCAAGTGCTCGTCATCCTCCTCATCGTCCTCGTACTAGTAGCAGTAGTAGCAGTAGTAGCAGTAGTAGCAGTAGTAGCAGTAGTAGCAGTAGCAGTAGCAGTGGCAGTAGCAGTAGCAGTAGCAGTAGCAGTAGCAGTAGTAGTAGTAGTAGCAGTAGTAGTAGTAGCTGTAGTAGCTGTAGTAGTTGTAGTAGTTGTAGTAGTAGTAGTAGTAGTAGTAGTACGATAACCACGACGACAAATGCTGATGATAATTCATTGTGTGGTTGTGACTGCTATCAGCTCAGAAATATGCCCAAGCCTTAAGCTTTGGTTGATGCAAAGCTCCAGGCTGCGGGTCATTCGTGGCCGCCTGAGCGGGGCCCCTGGCAGGCAACTGCCCCTAGCAGGTTTGAGGTTTGGGTAGTGGGGTTTTGGGGTTAAGGTTTACATTATGGGCTCTTATCCACAAGCCTATATGTCCCCATCTAGCTGTCGGCGGCAACTTTGGGAGAAGATTTTACAAGAATTCTAAGATGCCACTGCAGGGGTTATCAGGAGTGTTTTTTAATGCAATAACCGAGCTGCGCGGATTTCCAAGTGCGGCTTCTTGAAGACAGAAAGTGGTCCGGAAGGGGCACTGTTCAACTTTCCGACGATTGTAGTTAAGCCTCTGTGTGGTTTATATGCAAGAAATCCGCATCTGTTGAGGCAAGCTTTTCGGGCGTTATATATGTGAATAGGGTGGCATATTCATTTTCAGAGGGTGTTCCTGTCAGGATCCTTCATTGCAATGTTGTATCAAGTCATTAATGTAGTCCTTCCGCTCGAATATGGGCAAGCAAGCCCCAACAAGGCCTGCCAGAGAAATGGGAGTTTCAAAAAACAAGAGGCTCCAAGATTGGCCCCCACATGTTACAATCCTTGTCATAGGGCTCCCTACATGGACCACTTAATTATGTGCAGACCCCCAAAACGGCTCCGTGACTCGTGGAGGTTCCTGTCAGGTTGAGAGGGATCCGTAAGAAAAAAGAAATGGCCATGTTCACGGGTCAAATAATAGGATTTTGCGAACACCCAACTCCCCCCCAAAATTGGATCCATATAATTGTCATGTGATTATGATGGAATTGATAACTTGGAAGTTGGGGTTATCCTCGTTCTAAGGTAGTCCCCACATTGGCACCTAAGAAGCTGCAAAGCCCACCAGTGAGGCTCGCTCCGGCGTCCCCTGGTGGAGATAAGACTCAAAAGTCTTTTAGGGTTTTGGCGTTGAATTCCTGGCCCGTTGCAAACGATATCCACTGCTACCCTGACCAGGAATGCCGAGCGCAGGCCAGGAAATTGTTCGAAGCTCCTTCTTGAAAGTATTTCGAAGGTTGCCATACTTCCTGGCGTTGCGAACTTCATTTTTGTAGCGAGGCTATGACGAATCCGTATTCGCTAAATTCTCCGTGCACACTCAGAGAAGGACGTTTACGATGTCCTCCCAAAGTCGGCTGCTCATGCCACCGATCTTGAACTTGGAATTCATGCGACAGAAATTTGTCAACTGAGTAGTATTTTATTTGGGGATACTATGGCAACCATTATAGAGCAATTCTGCTTTGGGGTATAGTATTTTATATAAGGAATACAATCTTACTAGGTTTAACCACCAAAAAAAACACTACTCAACTGCGCCATCAAAAAATCCACGGGAGCAACACGCTCTCACAAAAATTGATGACATCAAGTGCTATCTGAAGGTGCGGATAGTCACGCCATGGCTCTGTCTTGGAGCAGCAGGGTTGTAGTGGTAACGTCTCCATGGCTGGAGTAGTATAGCCGCTAGTATCTTTGCCTTTGCTGCTGCCGTTCTTCATCTTGGTGTTGCTATCCTCGTTGTGACCATCATTCTGGCCGCCAGGTCTTATTCTCCGTTTTAAGATGAACTGTCCGCACTGAAGACAGAACACGCTTGTGCCAGGTAGTACGTTCGGTGGGCCGGTGGAGTGCCGGCACCAAGACAGAGTCCTCCTCACATCAGGCACCTTGAGCTGACTGCAATGCCAGAATTCTGTCTGCTTGGGCTGGAAAAGATAGCTTCTAATTGTAGTAAGTAGTACCAGTACAGAAGAAAAAACCAAACAAGTGTATGACATTTTGTGGTAAACATGGCAACTGCTATCAAAACAGCGGATGCAAGGGCAGGGTTAAATTTAGCCCTAGTCAGCAACTGTAACAGCGAGAGCAGCCACCACCAGGATCATGACAGAGTGGATTGCTTGCGTAGGTGATCAGCCTTGCTTCAGGCATTCTGCGACCTCATCCAGGATTGCCATTTTGCCTGCTGGATGCGTGTCCATGCTCAGGGTAGCATATGTTCAATGTGGCAACTCCACTACTGAATGCCTGGCAGGAGTCAAAAAGATTCATCTACATAGAGAACCAGAGACTCTGCTGCAAAGCAATTGCTCTCATTCTAATAGTGTGGCAGTCTTTGCAGCGGTTGGCGAAAACCAAGTGCAAAACCTCAAGATAACTCTAAACCCTGAAGCCTAAGTTCTAGGTTCTTCTGCTCCGGCATGGAGGGCGAGGAGTCTATTGGGAATCGAGTATTGGAGGCAGCGTGCAGAGCAGTCATAGCCCTTGTGTTTGCCTCTCAACCAAGTACTCCCAAGAAAGGAGAGAATAGTTTGCAACTGCAACCTTGAATCAACCGCTGAAGATGCTTCCGCATCTATGACTTCAACTGAACCGTCGCAAACTGTCTCCCCCATTTTTGCCGCGTAGTAGTTGCATGCAAACCCGTGCGCGCTCTTGGAAAGTTGTTTGTGCCTGCATGCGCTCTACCACGTTCGCACAGAACAGACTTTCCAGCGCACTTTTTGATATCTGTCATGCAAGCAGGAACTCGGGAAAGTGTTGTGCTTAATTGTACCGAGCGCAGTGCCAGACCAGCAGGCTTGAAGTCGAGAGTCATCGTATCAGGCAGAAAAAGTAAAAGTTCTGAAAGGAGATGTACTGATGCCAAGCACTGAAAAACACCATCATGTCTGCAGGCGGGGATCGCAAGGTAGCTGTGGCTAGGCAAGCCTTGTCAATGCAAGAGACCAGTACACCGGCAGTGACACGGAAATGCAAGCTCCAGAAAGGAGGGGTTCACAGTCTTGTCTAAGCACATCTTCTTGCAAGCATCCTCCAGGAAAGCCACTGTTATGTCAGGACAACATTGCTGTAGGTACATTTGCTTATGTCTTGCTGTCCGGACCCAGCATCCCAGCATGCAATGAGTGCGAGGCCCTGTTCCGCCGAATCGTTAGCACCTCAGCAGTCCTTTGGGTGTGGGCTGCCAGTCGCTGCGTGCTGGGCTGTTGCCTTTCTCCTGCCCGTTCTGAGGTGAAGGCTGATGAGCAGCGCCAGTCCTTCCACGTGGTCATTGTCCTCCCGCTGCTACCAGCTTTGGAGGTCTGTGCAAGAGCCAATCCGATCTAGTCCATTCTGCCAAGATCTATCGGGATGGCTTTCTTTTGTGTGTTCTTCAGCAGATAGGATGGGCAAACCCAGAATCTATCATGTTGTACCTGAGGAGTAGCACTACGCCTTGCTAAGGCTTCAGACCTTGCACTTTTTCTGCCTAGAGAGGATCAACATAACCCGACTCCCAACACCACATATTGCATCCACTTGAGGAGGACCTTATGTTTTTTGTTGTTGCTGCCCATAGCATGCAGGCGCCACTGTGCCAGTCCAATATCTCTCAGCCGGTCTTTCGCGCCCGGAGCATAGTGGTGCTTTCCGTGGGACTGGATGATTGCAGTCAAAAGAGGGAAAAATAGCAGTACCATGAGTATTTATGTAGCCTTTTAGATCTTCAGTTTGCAACTTCACAACATAGGCGCAAACCCTCAAATTATTTCATGAATTTCCATCATAGTTCTTCATATTTCATAGTTCTTCGTCATGTCTCATGATTTTCATGAGTTACTTGATTTTCATCATATTCCATGAAGTTTCTTAATTTTCCTCATCTTCCATCAAGTTTCTTAATTTTCATGACATTTCATAGGGGTGGGGTGGGCAAACCATACTTGGTTCCCTGGAACTAGATCAAGACGCGCCAGGCCTCCGTAGCATTTTTTCGGACTTCATCATTTTCATCACATCTAGCACACAGTAATATAGCCTGTAAATCTGCTGAAATGTGCAGCATGCGCTGGGGCTTTCGGATCTGTCTTCATTCAACTCATTCAACCCTGTCAGGTGATGCATGCCCAGTATCAGACGCTGCGCAGTCTTCGGAAGGAGCTCCGTGCTCGAGGCCGGGAAGCAATGCACTTGGGCACCTGTATAGTATGCACGGTATGGCATTTTTTGAAAGTGAAATCTGCAGAATCTCCATGTGGACGCCCATGATCTTTCATTTCGCGGTATGATTCTGGGGTTCACTAACATAACGCGGAAGCTGAGCTTGTAATCATGTAATCCATGGCGGACCCAGGGGTTGACGAGTCGAAGTACATTTCCGTCTTTGGCCTCAGGCATCACCTCCCTCATGCTGATGTGTCATCAATCCTGTGAACACTAATGGGCTGAAGTCAGTTGGAGGACCCATGGGTGGCTAGAGGGCTTGGGCTACGCCACTGAGCAGATCTACGTCCACTCGAAGGCCTCGCTGTGTCACGATGATTCTAATTCATCAGTGGGTTTTTTTGTATGTACGACTTTGCAAAGAATTCCTACAAAACCTTGCTTTGCATTGACTTGAAAATCATGCAAAGATCGATGCTCATAACCCCCAGACCAAGATGTGGATCGGATCGCTTCCGTTGTTCAATATGCCGCGTTTCCGGCAGCCAACTGCACCTCAACCTTGCCCGAGTTCAAGAGTGCTCTCTGTGTAGCAGCGGGGCAAGTAGCAACTCTTTTGAGGCCATGGTGGTTGACGATGAGGTGCAGCTCTTGTAAAGTGCATGCTCGTGTGCAGAGTTGCCTTGCTGCGCTTTCTGCGGGGCTGCTCTTGCAGGTGGCAATTGTGGGCAGCTCCAACATCAATGACCGGTCCCTTCTCGGGATGCGTGACTCTGAGGTCAATGTCGTCATTGAGGACCCTGAGCAACCATATTCTATGCATTTCCAGGGCTGAAAGATCTGAAAAGTACTCCAGGACACCGGTGGATCCTTCAAGGGCCCTGGTGGCTTGCGAGGTGGTGCTGCTGCGAACCTTCGGAAGGCGCGAACGTGCGCGAACTGTGGCAGCAGCGTGCGTCTTTCCGAGCTCATGGAGTACTCAGGCGCTGTTCGCGCAGCATCTGGGTCTTGCAAGGGAGCATCTTGAAGTGGTCGGCGGCCTGGAATGCTTTGTGAAGCTGTCCTGGTCCGCACTGACTGCGAGAATTCCTGTAAAGAACCCTCTCCCCATTCATGTGGGCCCATGTCGTTTTTCGCTGAGGTGTATCCGGATCCTTCCAGTGAGGCAGGCAGCTGGCGAGTACAGCAGAATTTTGATGATAACGTAAGGGCATCTTCTGATACCCGCCTTGACGGAGAACCCCCCCAAAGCCTCATGATCCAAATTTTCGATGTAGAACCACTCAGCATAAAGATTGGTGTTGCTGGCATGTTCCAGGCATTCGTGGCTGAGATGCATCGAGTCGCCCAGGAGAACACACGGATCTACGAGGACGTGAAAAGCGAACGCATACGGATGGTGAGTGTGATTGTAGTGATGCCCAGAACAGGTTCATGATGTAATATTTGGGAAGGCAGCTCATTACAGCAGGCTTCTGTGCTTTGGCCTGTACCAGTAAAGCTGCTACTCGAACTCATAGACTTACTTTTTCACAACCCGCGATGCTGATGTATAAGCCCGCTGGTGGCTTGGTGTTGAGGCCGATTCAGATACCGCATAGTGAGTCTCTGTAATGTAGGGATCTCCTAGAAAAAGACACCCCTCGCCATATGAATATCATGAGACATCGGGTCTCCTTGTAAATGAGCACTTCCGCGCCAGCCAAAGTCTGTTCTCGCAACAAACGAGGACGTTAGCAGAAGCGCCGACTAGAGTAAGATAGGTGAAGTGCGGAGCTGGCTTTCAAGCATTCACCGTTCAGCTGCTGGCTGTTCCACAGTGAGAACTGTGAGTGTTCCCAACAGCATTCTTTTGATTTCCCTCCCAATCTCCCTTGCCGCATAAAGTCCTTAGAGGAGCTGTTTGGTGCACTGCCCTCCAACTCCGTGGATACCTGGGCAGAACTGGCGGAGCGACGGCGACAGGCTTGGGGTAGAGGCATAAAGGCGTGGAAGAGTTGGCGGTCGAAGGTCAACAGGGGTGTGGACTTGAGGATTGAGGATCCAGATCTGTGTTTTTGTTCGCGTTCAGAAATTGGTTGCAGATAAAGTTGCCTGTACCATAAACCTTAATAAGCCTTGATCTCCAAGCCCTGAACCCTAGATCCCAAGCCCTATCATGAGGTGGTGCTAAGTGACTTGGCGCATCCCCAATTGTTTGGCTTGGATCTAAAGTTGAACTCTGTCGCGCTGGAATGCCTCTAACCCCAAATCCCTAAAATCTGAAATGCCATCACTAAACCCTGAACTTTCAAGCTCTATATCCATGTCCTCCACCCTCAGCCTATGAGGCCCTTTCAAAGCATTTCAGCTTTCAACCCATAGCGGCTCAGCGGCAAGTGTTGTTCCTTCGGAGGTCCTGAAAATTGTCCCTGAGGAGTCCGTAGGCGCACCTTCGTCATAATGGCTTTACAGCCTGCAAGCCCGAAACCCTACAAATCCCAAACCCCACACAACCCTGGAGCCCCAAAGGCACCGCGCAGTCATGTTGAGAAAGCACCGCTGGTCACAGGCTCCGGCATCCCTGAATGCCGACTTCAGCAGGCGTGAGCGATGCGCAAACTGGGGTGGGGAGGCTTGTAGTGTAGAAATTGCTAGGTGTATGTATCTCTCTTGGAAGAGTGGTGTGTTCTCTATTGGGTTCCCAGATTGGCAGACCACATATTCTGCCGAAGGAGGAATATCTTGCGCCACCTTCAGCCCATTTCAGCCCTAAACCCTCAAGTTAATCTGGGAACATCGCTGCTTGCAGGGAGCCTAGGTGGTCCGGCATTTCCTTCATCAACAGTTCGAATCCTTACAAAAGTTAAGAACCCCAGAATAAACCTCAACATAGTATTACTTTCTCCGAGTAGGGCTCCCTCTCTCTTGTGGAAAGCACCATATGGGGCCGGTAGCAACTGTGGTGGTTGATAATGGCAGTGATGGCTGTGCGCAGGATACCCGACAACAAGATTGCCGAAGACGCCTTGAAGGGGGTCCAGGGATACCTGGTACGGAGCCCAGAGCAAAGTCAGGAAGCCAGCCTGGTAAGAGCTGGGTGTTTCTCAAAAGTAAGCATCCTTTTTGTGGTCGTAAATGTGGGGAATACCCAGCTCTTCTTGCTTTGCGCATCCTCTTCAGGTCCAGTTCCCCCTGGACTTCTTGGCAAATGAGGATCTGTGTGTGTGTGTGTGTGTCGTTAAGTCGAAAGGTCTGCTAGTTTGCACGAGCACTCAGCGTCAAGTTACTGCCAGAGACCACCATTGTAGTCATGGCTACGATGGCTGTTATTAATGTTCTTGCCATTTTCCAACCATATTTCAACCCTGGGGCCCTAGGTTTTTGCTGCACTGTTTCATGGTGCCAGTTACGTTTCTGGTTGAAACATCCCCCACAACAAGCTTTGCCTTGGGATACAGCACCCAATGTTTAACAGATATTCGCGCATGCTCGACTGTGACCTCCAAACATGGGGTGCGCACTCTGTAATTTGATCCGTCTTCTGAAGAGGACTTGGCGCCGTCTGTGGTGGGGGGCCTTTTGGGCCCACTCTTCACATGAGGCAGCCTTACTCTGCTGCAGCCTTCCAAATTTCTCTAAGCTCTTCTGCAGGTGCCGAGCAGGAGTCCAGAATGATGGAGCAATGCAGGGAGAGCAATTCTGGACGTCTTTGTTTTCCTGGTCGAGCCCAAAGGGGTCATTCGAAATTTGTGGCCAGGCACCGTTGCTGTTTTGGACCGAGGTGAAGGCCTCTTGCGCGTCTCACCAACGGTCGGTCTAGGTATTGTGAAATCTAGCCTATCTAGCTTTCCACCAGGATGATTCCTGCGTGGGTGCTTGTGGGAGCTCGTGAGCAAATGGGCATTCTGCAGAATGCCCAGCGGTCTAGAAGCAAGATATCACCGGTCTCTGTATAGTGGATAGGACGCAGCGTTCTTAGGTTGGTGAAGCTGACGAGCTAGAAGAGCTGCACCAGTGTGCACCATCCCTTCATGCTGGCTGAAAAGTGGCATGGCATGCGGTAGGTCGAGACAGCAAGCCATGAGGGCGAGCGTCCAGCTGAACATGAAGGGATGGGCGGCCCCGGGAGCTATCCCCACCAAAATTTAATGAACTTTTATGTGCCAACTGCCATGAGCCGAAGACAGTTTTCCCAGGTTCTGGAAAAGAGTGCCCACAGCAATTGAAGGAAGCCGAGCGTATCAGACCGCTCCAGAACCTGGAGTTTGTCAGCCATGGCGTTCTTGGGACAAATCAGTGCAAGCTGACTCGATGCCTTTGCACGGTCCAGGGTAAACAAAGAGATATTTAAGGGCTGCCGCCGCTG